ACGATATACTTTGTTGTATTTTCCTGTAAAAATAACAGAGTTCCTTTGGAATTCTTCAGCTTTTAAGAACTGCCGGGTTTTCCTGTAGTAGACGGAACTAATGCGCAAATGGCAATCTCATTGGCTGGCGCTCACCTATTATCGTCCCTGTTTTGATTTCAGCGAATCAGTTCGAGCAAATGCACACAACCTGATTAATATTCATGAATCCAGTAGCTCATTAATCCTTAGTGCGTTTTTATATTGTTCTTTAGTAGAATTCGTATAATAATAATATCTTATCAGTGTTATTGTTCGTTTTTTTTTTTTTACAGGAACACTGAATGACCAAAAAAGCACCAGCACCAGTCCTACGTTCATGGTTACCAAGTTTTAATTCTAATTACTAAACTTCTATTATTAAATAATACTTGATTGTTGATCATATTATAATGCTTGACTGCTTGACTGACTGATATTAAGAGTGTACTTTCAGATATTTGAAAAGCTGTACCATTTTACAAACATTATATATATATATATATATAGTATAGTATAGTATAGCTTATATATATATATATATATAAGTGACTTTTTATCATATTTTCAGCCTTTATAAATTGGAATTATAGAAACTCACTACATCCCCTGACCAACCTGCTGTGTCAATCAATCCCCACACACAAAAGCCACTCACCATGTAGCGCAGGTCATCGAAGCCATTGAGCACCAGTTTGCTCTCATACTGAGGAAAGCCCACATGTTCCAGCCACTCCCCCACCGACTGCTCCAGCACGCGGCTCCCAGCTGCATCTGCCGACAAAGGATGACGTTTGAGCAGTGAAAAACCATTTAGCCTGTAGCAGCGGCACTCGGAGGCCGAGATGTGGCACTGCCACATCATTTTTGGCCAGCAGAGCTGAGGGCAGCAGCAGCAACAGCAAGGCAGTGTCCAGGCTTGAGCGATGGGCCTCCGCTAGACGCAGGGCCCCAGATTTACACACTAAACTTGTAATGGAGATTCCTCCACAAGCCCTCACTGCGATGGAGATGAGGGCCAAGGCTGATGGGGTATGGAGGTAGACCTTGGCAGGTAGTCCTTTAAAGAAGAGCGTCAAGTCAATTAATTGGGACAATTTGGCGTCGCTCCTCAAGAAGAGGGCAAACAAACAAAGCAATGTCTACTCAGCTTTTCTGTATCTGATTCAAACAATCACGCCGAGGGATGTCAGCACGTTGCCCAGACAGGAAGATCATAAAAGTTCAAGGAGAGCTTTTGGCTTGCAGCAAAATATCGAGATCTACGAGAAGCTACTAGGAAGTTGCAGGAAAGTGTGCCCTGCTTTGCCCCTGATCTGCCCCTATGAAACAAACATTCCTCTACAACGCAAGGCTCGATAAAACAGACTTGTCCTTGAAATTGGAAGCAAAACCCTTTAGTAAAGCCCTAAGAACAGCTGGAGAGTAAAAATACCAATGTCAGTGAGTTTGCTACAACAGAGTCATGGATCCCCAAGCCAAGCCGTCCAACTCATTGATCAACAGTCCACCAAAATGCCACCAGAAGCCTTGCGTGACCCCAGCTCGTCCTTCGAAAGATCTTCTTGGCACATATTCCCATTCCTCTCTCGAGTTGTTGATGAGGAACCCCTCCCACCATTAGAAAGCAGCCGGTTTGACCACTTCCCCGAGCAGTCCAAGTAGCATTCTGGTCACGGTTATCCAAGTTCTCCTGGTCCTTCCAAGCTTAGACGCACCTCGCCGGACTAACATACCAGAGCGGAATGCACCATCGAAACAAGGTAAAACCAAGCCTTGATCCAGTGGAAACAATTGATAAGAAACCCCGTTGATGGCTCGGTCCTTCTTCTCGCAGCCCTGCCCCCTTGCACAGGTTGCTCCGTTCTTCTAGAAAACGCTCCTGAGGGTCCTTCGGCCCCGATCAGGCAGCGTTCCGGTCACGGCAATCCAAGGACTGCTGGTCCCTCCGAGCTTAGACGCACCTCATCGGGCTAACATACCAGAACGGAGTACGCCATCAAAGCGAGGTACATCCAACCGAAATGAGGTGAGCTCCAACAATGGACGGATAACCCCATAAGAAAGCCCCGTTTGTGGCACGGTCCCTCTTGTTGCAGCCCAGCCCCCTGCTCTGGTCGCGCCGTTCCTCTTGCAGACGTTCCTAAGGGTCTTGCGCTCGGGGGCAAGGATTGCTGCATCCCTGATTTGGGAACGCTCAATCACAGCAGCAGCTGCATTCAATACTCACAAAGCAAAACATCCAAATGACATATTGTTCCTCCAGAAAGCCACCGGTAGCGCATCGGTCACAGCTGGTAATCACCTTAAAGACATCTCAGTTCAGCTGTGCATCATGTCCACTCACTGTTTCTGGCTTTCTTTCCTCTTTGACTTGCTTTTTACCCCAGTTCTCATTGACAGAGTCCTTTCCGAGAGCTCTGCAGGGCTGCCATATGCCGTCTGATGCTGAGACCCGCTGCACGGCATATACGCTCTACTCGTTCCCAAACCCCCCTCCCTCCCGTCTCTATGTCTCTCTTTCTCTATCTGTCTCACATACACACACTCTCTCTCTCTCTGTGGCGATCAATCCCCCCCCACCCCCTTTTCTCTGTCTCACTCTCTCTCTCTCTGCCCCTCTATCTATTCCCCGCTCCCCGTACTGATTAAAATTGCACGCAGGCTCTCTGATCTTGCTGGTGCAGAAAGGACACCATCAGAAAAAGGAACAAGAGACAAACCCAAACCACACACTGCTGTGCCAGGATCAGCCAGGAGGGGAAAAATCCCGTACAGGTTCCTCTAACCCCGCACCCTGCAACCCCATCCCTATCCACTCCGCACTTAAGTGCTTCCAGAGCTTCTGCACTCTCTCTATGAAAAATTAAATCGCAGCCAAGCCACATACTACGGTAAATCATCAGAGGAATTAAATTCATGAATGTGTCACTGTACCGGTGGGGAGAGGGGGCTGGTTGTGGGGTTGCGCGTTAAACGTTAAGTCAGCGAAACGCACCATGCACATGCTGCACTTAACGTAATTCCACCCGTGCCCACCTTCATATCGGACACATCCGAGTCCAATCGGCAGAATTCAGGTTTGCCAGACGTGATCAAACTGTAGCGCTCACGTCTCGTGCGCAGACGACGCAGACCGCGTTTTCCGTAGCGTGATGTGGTCTAATTCAGTGTCACACATGAGTGCTGCTTCATGCAAGCATGTAGGGCATTATCTGCATGCAGCTGAGAGCAGGGGAATCATACGAACTGTCAGCCTGCCAGGGCGTTATTCACATACACACACTGAATGAGTCTTGATATGTAAAGTACATCCAAACATCTGCGGACTCAAAAGGACGCTCACTTCTAAAGGAGGTATAAGTATTGGGGTGCATTTTATTTATTTAGCAGACGCTTTTATCCAAAACATCTAGCAAAACAAGGAAGAACACTAAGAATTTAGTCAGCAATATCAGCAATGCAACTATACTGAATTGGTATCACCATGTTTTTTTTTGTACATGTAACAGTGTAGTACATATTACATACATCGAGATTAATTCATTCAGCAGACACTTTTATCCGACATGAGCAAAATGACGAAAAACTAACAATTTAGCAAAAAGGAGCCAATCATTTTAGCAATGACAGCATTTTTGTTTAATTGTACCATGGCACTACCAATACTGTGGTCTTACATGAAAAAATATGCTTTTGATGTACTATGGTAGTATCATAGTGTTCTTTGAAGTACCTTGGAGTAACATGTAAATGCCACGGTACAAGAAATAAGAAAGTACTCTGGCAGTACCATGGTAAGGTGATGATATCAGAATGTAATTCCATAGTAGTCTGAACTTTCATTTGCAAAGACAATGGACGTTTGTGTGTATAGGAATAATATAAATAAAAATGTATATAAATAGAATAATAAATAAATAAAATAAATATATTTCATAATACATTATTATATAGCCTTGGTACAAAATACAAGAAAGGACTTTGGCAGTACCATGGTACAGTAGAAACAGGCTTCCATATATATATATATAATATATATATATATATAATTCTTAATATAATTTTTTAAAATTTAATATTTCTTTTATATTTTTTACAAAAAGAAATACAGAAAAAGAAAGGTTTCTTTTTTCCCCTTTTCTCCAATATCACAGTCTCTTAAGAGCTCTTCAACTTTTTCCAATAAACAGTAGACTTTAAAAATGGCCTATGGTGACACGGTAAGAATTTGAGGCGTGATAAAAAACACATATTTCAGTCTCATTACGCACAGACTCCCGTGAGAATTTTAAGGACAATGTCTCACAGAACAATAGCACTGTCTGTTCCTTTGAAGTGATCCTCTGCTGTACAATTTCTAAATAATTGTATCTCTCCTAGAAAAGTCCATTAAAATATAGTGCTCTCTCGCCATATATAGCAACTACCTTGGGAGGCTCCACTCAAGAAGAAAATAATATCAAGTCCTAATTACTGAGTATCGCTGCGATGGCCACAGTAAATGGATCGTGATCTCATCTTTTTAAAGTAGGCCCTCGGCGCCCATTGTGTACCGGAGGGTGTCTGTGTCAAAATAGCAGGTACAAAAATATCAGACAGACCAAATTGGGGTGAAAAGTGAGAGCATGTGCTTGAGAAAGAAAACCGCTGGTTGTTAAAGACGCTAGTGAAACAGTTCTGACCCGAAGGATGATTCAGACGTAGCTGTCACAGAGGCTAGACTACTGTTAACATACTGGATTAGTTGTTTAGACATATTAATATGATTGTTTATAACCAGGCTTATAACCGGCATTAATCTAATAATGTTTTTGCCTTTAATGTGCCAAATGCTTTAATTTGCCTAAATATCTATTTTTCTTTCAAAGACGTATTTGTTTCCTCTCTTAAGAAAAAAATAAAAAATAAATGCAAGACAAAATAATGAATTCTTTCTAATTTTTTCTCAGCAACTCTAATTTACCAAAAAGGGGCCAATCATTTTAGCATTATTTTTAAACTTATACCATGGTGCAATAACAACATCACTATCTTTTGTACAGAGATAATACCATGTTTTTGACATACTATGGTAGTATCATGGTATTCTTTGAAGTACCTTGGAGTATCATGCAAATGCCATGGTACAAAATACAAGAAAGGACTTTGGCAGTACCATGGTACAGTAATGGTATCACAACTAATCAGAATGCATACTATTAGTATACGAATACTAATAGTATCAGAATATTTTCTATAAATTAATATATAATATTAATAGAAATAAAAAGAATACAAAACAATATAACTATAAAACAATAGAAAACGAACTGTAAACTAAAATAATATTTATTAATAAATGTATTAATATTTATTTTATATTTCTCGCAAAAAGACATTTGTTTCCTTTCTTAAGAAAAAAACAAATTACACGCAACACAAAAAAAATAGTTTTTTTGTCACTGGTTTCTCAGCAAGTTTTGAAACATTGTTTTGTAAGTTTATAGGCTATATAGCTTTGATATCATTAAATTCAGCCATACAAAACATTCTCCAAAAAAAAAAAAACATTAGCAAACCCTGTAGAATTTAAGGTACATTTCATGTCTTTATCTCAAATCGTTAGAGTGGTTTGAAGTTAGTTTGAACACCCAAAAATTTAAATTGTCAGTATTTACTACAAATAAAACTATCAAATATTTTCAGTATTTGAAATATAGCTGAAATAAAATGAAATATAAATATTAAACTTAAACAAAAAATGTTGACTTAAATGAAAAAAAAAAACTTAAGCACATAAAATTAATATATCTTGAAAATAAAAAGTGAAAATATAAAAATAAAAGCTAACACATAAGAATATTAAAGATAAACTGAGGTCCAAACAACATTGGACCCCACTGATGTTTAATGTATGGACAAAAAAATACATCTTTTATGCTCCAGAGAAGAAAGATCATCATATAGGCTTGGCATGACATGAAGTAATTTTTGTTTTTGGGTGGTAAGACTGTAAAAAGATTGCAAAATCCCTGGTCCTAATTTTGAAAATCAATTTAGGTAACCAAACCAACTGCATAGTAACTACTTTAAATTCATACATTACACAGTTTGCAAAGCCATTCTATTGACATTTCTCATATATGTGTGTGTGTGTGTGTGTGTGTGTGTGTGTGTATATATCATTCATATGTAGCTTTCATATTTATTT